TTTTAAGTGCACTTCTTTTTCTTTTCTTTTTTTAAGTTTGGATACAAGCCCAGATCTTTAAAAGTGAAGGAAAAACTGAAACCGAAACTTCTGTCATCATTTACTCACCCTCATGATGTCCCAAACCTGCATGACTTTCTTTTTTCTATAGGACAAAATGAAACCTTTAGCAGAATGATCTGCTGAGCTCCAAAAAGGACAACAAGCACCATGAAAGCATCACAAAAGAAGTACAAACAAATCATTCGCTGGAGAGGAAGAACTGAAGTAAATAATTTCAGCCCTCTCTCAGAAATCTGTGTCGCTTTAGAAATCTTTCACCTTTTGAAGCTCAACAGTATGAATTTGCAAAACATCTTCTTTTGTGCTCCATGCAAGAAGGTCAAATGGGTTTAAAATAACATGAAGATGAGTAAATGATGACAGCTGCAAAAAATGACACGTCAGGTGCTATAATTAGTTCATTTAAATACAATTGTCATTCAAGTGAGATTCAAATTCGTGACATCTCTCTATGCCACATCGGCTCATGATCACTTTAGGACTCAATCCCTCCTGAATGGGGCGTCAATTATTTTCCATGACAGAGACTGTTAATAGTCCAGAACAAATGATATATACAAGTTTATTCCTCCAAAACACAAATATACCACGTAAAAACAGCAAAACAATGGTGTGATGTGTTCGCTTGTGAATGTGCATTGAGTCAGACGCCTTTTAATGACAACACATTGCTAATCCAAATTTACCTATTACATCATGCTTCCCCAACTAAGCTCCTTATTACCTAGCTGCTATAAAACATTACTGACTGCCAGCCATGAGCATGAGTGTCCAAAGAGATCTGTGTGTGTGTGCATGTTTATGTGGTTTATGAGGACACAAATTTGTATAATAACATGGGTATGACATTTTCAGTGTCCCCGTAATTCAAAAGGCTTATAAATAATTCAGAATGAGTTTTTGAAAATCTAAAAATGCATAAAGTTTCCTGTGAGGGGTAGGTTTAGGGGTAGGGTTGGTGTAGGGCAATAGAAAATACGGTTTGTACAGTATAAAAACCATTACGCCTATGGAGAGTCCCCATAAACCATAAAAACAAACCTGTGTGTGTGTGTGCGCACGGAGGCAGAAAGCAATGTCCATGTGGATTACCCATTGTTGTAGCGAGACTCCAAAGAGTTTGTGCACTAACGAGAGGCTCACTGATATATATATATATATATATAAACACACACACACACAAACACGTGTCTGCTTTTAGCAAACCTCAGGAGACAGCAGCTCTGGCAGACTCACAACAAAAGGTTAAAGGGACAGTTCACCAAAAAAAAAAGAGAACTGTTATGTAGTAGAATGTCCTGACTGCAAATAATTAATTCTTACAATGGCTTGAATACATCTCTTTTATGATCATCTCTTATGTGTGTGTGTGCGCTATGTTAGGGCTTAAAGTTAAATAGTTAATAATATAAGTGATACAACTTTCCTGATATCATAATGAAGAAAAAGCCTAACTAAAAGAATAAAACAAAACCTTCTTAAGTAGTTAAGTAATCATTTTTATTTTGTTACACCAAACTATAATAATTATTATTAATAATAAGGTCAAAGTCAATATGTTTCTTCAAATATCAGAATTTTTATGTTCAAACTGTTTAAATTGTAAAATGTCATGTGTCAGGTGTGACTAAATAAAAAAAAAAACCTTAAGCAGTTAATAATCATCTAGTGTATAATCTTATGGTAAAATCTTTCATTTGTTATGTCAAATACTACTACTAATAATAATAATAACAACAACAACAACAACAACAACTTAACCTGATTCGCTGATTAATATTTTAAAAGTCATTTGAAATGAGAAAATAACTCAAACATGACATTTTATAGAGATGACCTTCATTCTGTCATTCTTCAGGAGGAGGACGGCTAACAGAGTCCAGGGAGGTGACGATGGAGGCAGGAGCCAGGGAGACGACAGGAGGGAACCGGAGCAGGAGGAGCCAGGTGGGACCCTGGCCACAGCTATAATAGCGGCCCACGGTGGAGCCGACGGAGGGAGGAGCCATGGAGGAGGAATGTCCACCGACTCCAGGGGGCCGACCAACGGCGGCGGAGCAGGTGGAGGAGGAGCCAGAGGCTGAGACGGAGAGCCAACGAGCCAGGGGAATGCCGAGGAGCGGGCACTGGAGAGAGCTCTTGGGCTGGAGCCCTTCCTGGGCGGAACTGGGGATCGGGAGCCATTCCTTGGCTTGACAGGGGATCGGGAGCCATTCCGAAGCTCGACAGGGGATCGGGAGCCATTCCGAGGCTCGACAGGGGATCGGGAGCCATTCCGAAGCTCGACAGGGGATCGGGAGCCATTCCGAAGCTCGACAGGGGATCGGGAGCCATTCCGAAGCTCGACAGCAAGATATTTAATGTAGACACAACAAGGCAAATTTAGGAAGATGAGACACACACACTCGGGGTAACATTCACAATAACCGACAAACTTGAACACAAGAGACAGGAACAGAAACAGTCCACAGGGGTGTTACACATTCATGTAGACCTTCATGGATGTGTGTGAAAGTCATCTTAAGTTTCTTATGTTTAGTTAGTTTAGGTTGTAAAATGTCATGTGGTGCAACTCCTCAAAAATGTCTGAATTAATAATTTATTATATTTGTTTCAAAACATTTTTAAAAATAATATGATAATAATAATAATTATTATTATTATTATTATTATCTTCATCATTATTATCATTATTAACGGTAACAAAAACATATTATAGTGTGGCGTGTGACTTGAGCTCAATAAGCTCAATAAATAACTATTTGAATGCTGTAACATTAATGCTGTTATTTTATTGTTTATGACTTTGAATCCGTTAATGATACAAAGTATCATATATAGCGCTATTTAAATAAACGTTACTTGACTATTTCTTAATCACCATTGTCTGTTTCCTCTAAACATCTGCTAGCATTAATGGTAACGCACACAAGTTTGTTCACCTTTATTCACTGTGTTCGGATGTGTGGCTCATGATGGCAGGAGCGCTGTTTAATTTTTATGAATCCTCCAGAGACTGATGTAAATGTGACCTATTACAAGAACAGGAATCAATTAGAGGCGTAATAACTAAGAAGCCCTGCAAATGTGTGGTATTTAGTCTCTCTTCCTCCTCCCGCCCTCTCATCTATCTATCTATCTATCAGATTCCACTCGCATGCTAGCCAGAGGATCGCATGAGAGCAAGCTGTGACTAATGCTCTCAATAGCGCATTAGCGAGGCTGAGAGACGGAAAACAGACCCATAAAAAAATTGATGGGGTAATGACGTCTCTTTCTCGTTGCAGCTAGCAGACAGGCCATTTCCTCAGCCGACGGGACTCTCAGCACGGGGTCGGCCGGTGTGTAGAAAGTGTTGGGGTGCGGTTGAGTTAACGGCAGGGGTCAGGTCAGGTCAAACGCATTTCACCCCTCACCATCTTACTCTCAGACTGCTGGAAGTCTGAGCACTCACAGAGAGAAGTTTCATTCATAATAGACGAGATCTGTTAGATCATCAGGATTAATTCCTGCTGGAAGTCTGGTGTTGATTGAACTGTTCAAATGCACCTGGATTTGGAATCAATGAGCACGTTTACATGCACACCAGTAAGCTGATAACTCACAAATATCAGCTTATTAAAATAACTAGTTTTCCCCGTTTACATGCACATCAGTAACCTGACAACGCAAGTAAGCTGCGTTTACATGACTGCATTAATAAATCAGGTTATTTCCCTGTAGTGACGTCAAAATATAATCATTTGCGTATCTGACTCCGAGTATTCCATACATTTGTCAGCTGTGATGTTAAATTAAGCTTGTAACATGTCGGGAAACTTACAGCTCATATATTATCTTCTCATGCAGTTATAAACGCAGCATTGTGACAGAACCACTTCTACTTCTGCTGCACGAGATGAGAACACATTTTTATCATTTTCTGAGTCATGAAAAAGTCTGCTTTTGTGATATATTTCCTTCTTTCTTTATTGCAAGACGTTTGCTCAGTCTAGATGCGTTTAAATCTGCATTAACGATGCGTTCCTGTCACGTATCACACATGCCTTTAATTGTAATTAATTGTATTTTGACCATAGTTTGGTGACCAATTCTCACTATTAACTAGCATGCATATTACTAGCATATTGGTTGTTTATTAGCACTTATTGTCAGGAAATAGGCTGGATTCAGATGTGGGTACAACAGTGGCTTTATTGAATAGAATAATCAGAAATAGAAGAGAGTGCTTCAGCGGACAATTTGTGAGAACATGGATTCTTCTACTACCCAGGTGGGTGGGTGACAAAGGCTGGCAGGTCAGCAGAGACGAGGCCGGCCAGGCAGCTCGCTAATCCAAGCGAGAGGCAGAGTAATCCGCTGGAGATTCCGCAGAGACCCAGGGACGACGGGTACCTGAGCGCACAGAGAGGTGCTGGGAAAACTACTTGCAGCTACGAGCACTGGAGCCTGAGCGAGACAAGACAGGACAGGTAAACAATCACGACTATAGCAGCCAGAACAATGTTATAGACCACAACAGTCTGACAAAAGTCAGCAAACGACGGGGAGCTATAAGGAGAAGATAACGAGACAAACAAGAATCTGATGTGAGAAAAGATGAGCTAATGAGCAGGGAAACAGGGGGGGCAGAGACAACCACGTACACAACACACCACACGAACAAAGAGACAGCAAATATACAGGTGATCAGACCCGAGACCCGACAGCAACCCCCTCCTAGGAGCGCCACCAGGCACCCCAGGAGGAGACCTACCTCGTCGTTGACAGAAGTCCTCGGTCAACGAACGGTCCAAAATGTCCCGGGACGGCACCACCATCTCTCCTCTAGACCATAGCCCTCCCAGTCCACGAGATACTGAAACCCTCTGCCGTGGCGCCGCTCGTCGAGTAATCTCCTAACCGTATAGTTAGGGGAGCCATCGAGGGGGTGGGGGTCGGGACGATCGCCGGCAGGGTTAAGAGGAGAAGAAAACACAGGTTTAACCCTAGAGACATGAAACACAGGGTGAACCTGACCAAAAGCGGGAGGGAGCTTGAGCCTGACAGCCACCGGATTAACCACCTTGGTGACACGGCATGGCCCAATGAATCTGGGTGCCAGCTTCCGAGAAGGCACCCGGAGAGGCAGATCCTTGGTAGAAAGCCATACCCGTTGGCCACACACATAGGTTGGGGGAGAGGACCGGCGGCGATCGGCTGCTGCTTTGGTTCGTCCTGAGGTTCGGACCAAAACCTCCCTGACTCTCTCCCAGGTGCGACGGCAGCGCTGAACGAAAGCCAGGGCAGACGGAATCGCAGCATCGGGTTCCTGTGATGGAAACAGAGGCGGTTTATAACCCACAGAACATGCAAAAGGGGACATACCTGAAGCCACCAACGGAAGGGAGTTACGAGTGTACTCAATCCAAGAGAGCTGTTGGCACCAGGAACTCGGATTACTGGAAATGATTATTTTCAAGATCCTGGTTGGCTCGCTTGCACTGCCCATTGGTCTGAGGATGGAAACCAGAAGACAGACTCGCAGAGGCCTCGATCTGTCTACAAAATGATTTCCAAAACCAGGAGGCAAACTGAGGACCCCTATCTGAAACCATGTCAACTGGCAAACCATGGAGACGGAAAACGTGATCCACCATCAGCTGGGCGGTCTCCCGGGTAGAGGGCAATTTGGCCAGGGGAATGAAATGAACCGCTTTGGAAAAGTGATCCACCACAGACAGAATAACGGTTTTACCCTTCGAGGGGGGAAGCCCAGAGATGAAATCAAGGGCGATGTGTGATCATGGACGGGAAGGAATGGGAAGAGGACGGAACAGACCATCAGGCGGGCGATTCATAGGCTTACATTGGGCGCAAGTGGAGCCCCGAACAGACGCGAGAGAGTGTCGGGCATGACATTTTTGGACCCTGGCCAGTACTCGAGATTCTTGTGATCCGTCCAGACCAAGAAGGGGTGCGCTGACCCCTCCAACCAGTGACGCCACTCGCCCAAGGCCAATCTCACCGCCAACAGTTCTCTATTGCCAATGTTATAGTTACGTTCTGCAGGGCTGAGACGGCGAGAGAAGAATGCCGTCAACTGGCAAACCATGGAGACGGAAAACGTGATCCACCATCAGCTGGGCGGTCTCCCGGGTAGAGGGCAATTTGGCCAGGGGAATGAAATGAACCGCTTTGGAAAAGTGATCCACCACAGAGAGAATAACGGTTTTACCCTTCGAGGGGGGAAGCCCAGAGATGAAATCAAGGGCGATGTGTGATCATGGACGGGAAGGAATGGGAAGAGGACGGAACAGACCATCAGGCGGGCGATTCATAGGCTTACATTGGGCGCAAGTGGGGCCCCGAACAGACGCGAGAGAGTGTCGGGCATGACATTTTTGGACCCTGGCCAGTACTCGAGATTCTTGTGATCCGTCCAGACCAAGAAGGGGTGCGCTGACCCCTCCAACCAGTGACGCCACTCGCCCAAGGCCAATCTCACCGCCAACAGTTCTCTATTGCCAATGTTATAGTTACGTTCTGCAGGGCTGAGACGGCGAGAGAAGAATGCACATGGATGCACCTCCCCTGTCGCGGTGGGAACGCTGAGATAGAACTGCGCCAACCCTGACGTCCGATGCGTCAACCTCGACAGTGAACTGGGACTCAGGATCTGGAACCAACAGAACAGGTGCAGAGACAAAACGGGACTTTTAGGTATCAAAGGCTACCTGAGCATCCTGGTTCCACCTGAAGGACACCTTGGTGGAGGTTAATGCTGTGAGCGGTGCAGCGATCTGACCAAAACTCCTGATGAACCGCCAATAAAAGTTGGCGAAACCCAGGAAACGCTGCACAGCTTTACGGGAGTCAGGGACGGGCAACTTAGCGACAGCCTCTATCTTAGCAGGGTCGGGTATGATCCCCCTGGAAGAGATGATAAGGCCAAGGAACATAACAGACATGGCGTGGAATTCGCTCTTCTCCGCCTTGACAAACAACTGGTTCTCTAATAGATGTTGGAGGACCCATCTAAAGTGCTGGGTGTGTAATTGGAGAGAGGGGGAGAAAATAAGAATATCAACCAAATACACAAAGACAAATTGATTAATCATGTCACCAAGAACGCTATTGACGAGACCCTGGAAAACGGCCGGAGCATTGGTAAGACCAAACGGTAGAACCAGATACTCGTAGTGTCCCGAGGGGGTGTTGAATGCCGTCTTCCACTCATCCCCCTCCCGAATGGTAGGCGTTGCGGAGGTCTAATTTGGTGAAGACCCAAGCTCCCTGCAACAATTCAAAAGCAGAAGACATTAAAGGTAGGGGTACCTGTTCTTTACCGTAATGTCATTCAAACCTCTGTAATCAATACAAGGACGTAGGGAGTCATCTTTCTTCTGAACAAAGAAAACCCCTGCGCTGGCGGGAGAGGAAGAATGGCGAATGAGCCCAGCCTGTAGTGATTCACGTATATACTTGTCCATGGCCTCTCTTTCAGGACCGGAAAGGGAATACAGACGACCCTTAGGCGGAGAAGTACCCGGGAGAAGGTCTATGGCATAGGATGTGGAGGAAGCGGAGGATGCGGAGTCAGGTCAGGAGGATCCACCTGCGAAACACATGACACAGAGACAGGAGGAAAGGCAGGACCTAAACATGACACATGACAGGACTGGCTCCAGGCTAAAATAGAGTTATTAAACCAGTCAATATGCAGGTTGTGCTGTAGCAACCACAGATGTCCTAAAATTAACGGAGCCTTAGGGGAGTCAATAATTAATAGTTCAATCTCCTCACAATGGTTATCAGAAAGAAAAAGGCTTACACGAGGTGTGACGTGAGTAATGGTGGTAAGGGGATTACCACCCGCTAGCGACCATGCTGTAATGGGCTCGTTGAGGGAGATGGTAGTAATGTTCCACTTGTGAGCCGAGGCTGAATCCAGGAAATTCCCCTTAGCTCCCAAATCCAGAAGTGCGTGACCAAAGTGCAAATTTCCCTGGAAGGAGAGTCTAAAGGACAGCTGAGTGTGTGTAGCTGGAGAGTTGGAACAAGGAAAAGCGCCCACCAGGACTCTCCGTTTCACTGGTGGGCACTAAAGGACGAAACGGTCAGCCTTGCCGCAGGCTGGAGACCTTGTCCTCGTCTAACCAAAGGATAACATAATCCTTGGGTTGGATGCTCCTGTTTCTGCTGCGGCGTTAGCCGGAGATGACCCAGCTGCATGGGCTCAGCATCAGCTGACTGAGAACTCGCGGCCTCAGAAGAAAGGGGCTCCAGGTGGTGCCATGGAGTAGTAGATTGACGGCGTTGACGGCGGCAGTTGAGATGGCCCTCCACACAGAGAGTGAGATTGATCAAATGATCCAGCTCCTGGGGAAGATCCACAGCAGCTAACTTGTCGACGATGGCATGATCCAGCCCCTCGAGGAAGCGAGCGCGTAGCGTGCCCTCATTCCAGCAGCAAGCAGCAGCTAGAATCTGGAACTGTATAGCATAATCGGTGACAGAGCTCTTTTTCTGAGACAGACACGACAACTGAGCTGCTGCCTCATCTCCCTGGGCTGATCGGTCGAACAGCTTTGCCATTTCCTGGTGAAAATCCTCAAAAACTGGGAGAGAAAGGCTTGGCAGGCATTCGGATCACCATCGTAAATCAGCGGATTGTTGGCATGAGGTTCGGGCTCAAGAGGAATACCAGCGCGGAGGACGGGACCCCGGTTTGCAGCCTCCCGCTGAAGATCATCGACCCACGTGAGGAGCTCAGTGACTCGGGCATTAAGAGAGTCCACCTCCTGAGCTGTGATGTTGAGTTGGTTAGAATGCTGGCCCAGCAACACTCCCTGTTGAACGAGAGCGTAACGAAGCGGATCTGATCCCGCTGAATCCATCGTTGGTCAGACTGTTCTGTCAGGAAATAGGCTGAATTCAGATGCGGGTACAACAGTGGCTTTATTGAACAGAATAATCAGAAATAGAAGAGAGCACTTCAGCGGATGGTTCGTGAGACCGTGGATTCTTCTACTACCCAGGTGGGTGGGTGACAAGGCCGGCAAGGCAGCTCGCTAATCCGAGCGAGAGGCAGAGTAATCCGCTGGAGAGTCCGCAGAGACCCAGGGACGACGGGTACCTGAGTGCACAGAAAGGTGCTGGGAAAACTACTTGGAGCTACAAGCACTGGAGCTTGAGCGAGACAAGACAGGACAGGTAAACAATCACGACTATAGCAGCCAGAACAATGGTATAAACCACAACAGTCTGACAAAAGACAGCAAAACACGAGGAGCTATAAGAAGAACATAACAAGACAAACAAGAATCCGGTGTAAGAGAAGATGAGCTAATGAGCAGGGAAACAGGGGGGGGGGGGGGGGGGGGGGAAAACCCCCCCCACACAAAGGCATATCAGAGCATCGGTGTATTTTATTCACATATGTTACATTTTGCATTAAATGTCATTAAAAGTCACCCTTTCTGAGATGACATCATAAAGTCTGAATCAGCGGAGACACAACTCACTCAGTTGAGGCAACCATGTGGACAACGAGCACGTGGCGAGCTGTCAAAACAAAGCCATGTACACAACACACCACACGAACACAGAGACAGCAAATATACAGGTGATCAGACCCGAGACCCGATACTTATAAAGCACATATTAATGCTTTCTTCTAAATGGCCATATTGTACATCCCTTAACCCTACCCCATACCTAAACTTAACAACTACATTACTAACTAAATTAGGAATTCATTGAGGCAAACGTTGTAGTTAGTTAGTAGTGAGAATTGGTCCCCAAACCGAAGTGTGACCACATTTTAATTTGAATAAACAGCTCTTAAAGTGTCTATTTAGACTTGCATTAACATTCATATGCAGACAATACAACATATTTTGTACTGAGAGGGATTCAATATGATTTGCACTTTAGGTCACATGACAAGATCCGCTGTTGTTACATAAAATTATGACTTAGTGGCACTCACAAACAGGCTAGTTTGCTAAATGGAAGTGAAGAATCCAGAACCGACTCTAGTCTCTGTATGTAGTATGTAGTCTGTACTCTATAGTCGGACTGCATTTTTATGCTACATTTGTGTTGGTATGAGCAGGCCTTTTAGACTTTGCAATCAATGATTTATGAACATCCATTTCAGTTAAGATTGCTTAGATGTAGGCATTAGAATGTAAGTCAGCGCACTAGTTTTTGGAACAGACCTTCTTCACATTCTCTTTGTTACTCCTATATAGTTGTGGTGTTTTATTGACCCAGTACAAAAATAAATTGTTGTCTGCACTTGTTTACATCCACATAGACGAAGAC